CATTTTTTAGTATGTTTATAACAAATGCCATAGAAATTATATCACATTCAGCCTTCATTTTTTTCCATTTTTCCCATTCGTTAATAACTTAATTGAACTTTATTTGTTAGTAGCTAAAAAAACAAATTAACTAAATTGACTTATTTTGGTAATTCATTTTATTGCTAGATGTGTTTAACAAATACCATAAAATTCTAGAAAATCATATAATATACTCAGAAATTATATGTCATTTAAATTGAGGTACTACCAAATAAAAGATCAAACAAATTGGAGATCAAAAGAGATTTCATACGAACGTTAACCATGCGCTCATATCCAGCCTGCTCAAGACAAATGATGGAAAATAGGTAATAAATCTCTCATCTTCTTGGTTCCAATAGCATCCTGTACCGATGTTGTCTCTTTTGCACGCAGCCATATATTGTGGGACGGTTGGGGTATTCATTCACAAATACACCACAGTTGCACATCTTGAATTGGTCGTTAGAAAATGAGTCTATCTTATCTTCAAATTCCAGAGGACTTACAATTCAGACTCGCTCAAAAAATAACATGCTCTCCATTTGAAGGCTGATACTTTTTATTGTGTCCTTGCTCAATCTTCCAAGAGATCTTTCTCCTTCTATAGTATTATTGAAAATGACTTTTTGAAGCATATTGTATGTGTAGATTGCATACTCATTTCCTTTGTTAGCCGTCTTCAGAATTATTTCGACATGGAGTTTCAGTTTATTTCTCTTGCACGTTAAAACTAATTCACACTGTAGTTATGTAATAGAAAGAAATATTTTGTTGGTTTTCATATCTATGTAAGATAATTAACAAGATTGTTACATAATCATTTATTTGAAGAAATCTTACTACTACATGATCATTCAAAATGAATGGAAACAGATATAATTGTAATTAAAATTTAAAAATTTAAGGGGTACTTTCACAAATGACCCACAATTTGAAGTCAAATGCAAAAGTAACCTCTTTTTTCTCCCTCTTTAATAAATGCCACTTTCTCCCTACTATCTCCTTACAACCACATATATTCACGAAAATGCCATTATGTTTTTAATTTTTGTTTTTTCTTAAAAATACTAAAAAGACACAACCATCCTAAAATATATCTTTTATTTACGAAAATACCATCTTTTTCAATTTTGCCAACCACCATTACCAATCAATTTTGAAGCTCTAAATGTTTGCCCAACCAATTTTGAAGCTCTAAATACTTAGTGTGTCACTTATAACTTCATTTTACCTACAAATTTCTCTCCAATTTCATCTAAAAAACTCTTTCATGCTCATTTTCATAAATTTCAATTTCATAAATCATCTATTTTGGAGATTCTTGCATAACAACGACTTAGCTAGTTTGCTATTGCTGCTATACAAAATTCTGGGTGTTTGTCAAAGTTAATCGAGTTTAAATTGGAAGTAGGTAAACATCTACTTCATTTTCTTTAACATTTAGCTCTGTTTCGCGAAAGCAGACTTCTTTTTCAGTCTGCTACTCAACACAGAGGTTAGATTTGCAATTGACTTTTTTTTTTATATTTGTGTAAGCAGACTTGAAAAGAAGTCTGCGAATTGTCCTTTGTAAACAAAAAAAATCATGTAGACTTCTTTTGCAGTCTGCGAGAAGAAAATGTTATTTTTGCATTTGACCAGAAAAATTGTCGAACTTTGACTTTTATAGCAGACTTCTAAAGAAGTCTGCTATTTCATAGTTTGACTCGGGATGTTATTTTTGCAATTGACCAAGATTTTGACCACTTTTGACTTTATAGCAGACTTCAATTAGAAGTCTGCTATTTATTTAATTAAGATTCGGTCAAATGCAAATCTGACCTACAAGCAGACTGCTAAAGAAGTCTGCGCATAGCAGACTTCTAAAGTCAACCTTTTGGTCAATTGCAAAAATAACCTTGAGTAGACTTCTTTTGTACAGTAGACTTCATAAGCAGACTTCTTTACTATAGCAGACTTCTTTTACTCGTGAGCAGACTTCTTAACTCTAAAAGTCAAACTTTTGGTCAATTGCAAAAATAACTTTTTCTTCTCGCAGACTGCAAGAAGAAGTCTACTACCAAAAGTCAAATATTTGGTCAAATGCAAAAATAACCTTTTTTTTTTAGATGACTTCAACGTGAAATTTTCCCAGCAGATTTCAAACGGATGTCTGTATTTTTTAAAATATTTAAAATGCATTTTATAAAATATTTGTAATGTTTTTTTTTAATTTTAAATTGTAAATGCATTTTAGGTATGATTCTTGCACTTGTATGAGTTTGGTGTGTTTATGTGTTATAAGTATGAAGTTATGAATTTTTTTTATTTGAAAGGTAATTAGCATATCTAAGTCTGTAGATGAAGTCTACTGTTACGTATTAGCACATCATAGCAGACTGCATAAGAAGTCTGCCTAATTATTTTTCTTAAATATTCATTTTGAAATATTTGTTACTTGTAAAAATGATTTTCTTGTTTTGACATGTTTATTTGTTTTTTGTGTTGCATATATATGAGTTTGACGTGGTTATATGTTACAATTATAAAGTTATTAATTTTCTTGATTTAAAAGGTAATTAATTTTCTTGGTTATATGAAGTCTGCAGACGAAGTCTGCGGTTACATATTAGCATATCATAGTAGACTGCATACGAAGTCTGCCTAATTCATTTTCTTAAAATTTATTTTTAGAATATATGTTATTGGTAAAATAATGTTCTTGTGTTTGTTATGTTTATTTGTTTTGTATGTTGCATCTGTATGAGTTTGACGTGGTGATGTGTTATAATTACAAAGTAATGATTTTTTTTGTTCACTACAAGAATGAGGGGTTTTTCCGTCGAATTAGTTACGACGATTTTTAGTCGTCGTAAATTTACGACGACGTTACGTCGTATTTACTACGATCAAAAATTTCGTCGTAAATTCGACGTAAAAAATGACCCTTGTAAAATTGTCGTGATGTTACGACGATATTACGACGAATAAAGAACGAATTTTAATTCGTCGTAATGTTGTCGTAATATTTACATCGATAATACGACTAATTGTCCTCTATCTTGTAATTGACGTAAAATCAATGTAAATGTGATGTAAGTTTTATTTCGACGTAAATTTGATGTAAATATGCAATGGTAATATGTTGGTAATCAAACAAAAAATTCTATATATACCCTTTCTTCTCTCATTATTCCATCAACCCAAAAAAACATATAAAGACACAAATTTTTTGAGTCTTTGAATGTTTAAGTAAAATTTTTAGTAGTTGAAATTTATATCAAATTTCAGAAACAAAAAGTCAAATATTTGTTTTTAAAATGTCTATATACGATCTACGAAAGTGGATGTATACGCCCAAAAATGGTGATGGGTACTATCCAAGTATCGTTGACCGTCGCTGAGCAAGACCAGATTTTCAAAGAGGTATGATCTATTTCAATTTTTTTAAAATTTATTATATTTATTACTTAATAAATAATTAACGTTTTCATTTTCCATTTGTAGGTTGCTCCGAAGAAGAAGGGCCGAACCTTAGGGATGGGCTCTATTAGAGACTGTCCTGCCGCCTCGGCTTCCGGATTTCGCACGCAGGAGGATCCGAGTCATCTTCGCCAGGAGCTTGCTACGGCCAATGCTGAGATCACCACTCTCAGGCATGAGCAAGTGGCCCAGAAGCAGGAGCTCACCGAGATACACGATCTCTTCGACATCGTTGCGGAAGCGGTTCCGCAGTTGGCCACCGCAATCCGAGCGAGGCAACAGCGAGCACGAAGGGTTTTTGAGACCGGTGGTACTTCCGGTACTGGACCATCGGACCAGCAGACGCAGGGTCAGTCTTCGGCTCCGGTAGTGCAGACGGGAAACGACGGTCCAGCAGCGACGGGCGGCCAAGACGGAGAGCCTCCTCGTGACGTCGATCTCAACCTCGACGATTACGATTTCACATTGTAGATTAGGTTTTTTTGTAAAAAACAATTTGTATTAAATTTTTTCTTTTATTTATAAATTATTTTCGAATATAAATTTCAATTTAAATTGTTTTTTTCTATTTTTAATTTTTTAATTATTTTAAAAATTCATTAATTAAATTAAAATCAAATTAAATAATTAATTTATAAATCGACGTAAATTCGTCGTAAATTTACGTCGATCTAACGTCGAATTATTAACGACGAATTTACGTCGAATATGTATTTATAAATCGACGTAAATTCGTCGTAAATTTACGTCGATCTAACGTCGAATTATTAACGACGAATTTACGTCGAATATGTTTACGTCGGATTTACGTCGAAACTTTACGACGAATTAACATCGACAATTAAAAAATTAGTTTCCCTTAATTAAAATTGTTCGTCTCCTAATCGTTGTTAAATCGATGTAATTTTACATCGATTTTACGTCGTTCTTATGATGGACTTCTTTCGTTGTACTTTCGTTGGAAACTTTACGTCCCGTTTACGACGAATAGTTTCCGACGATATTACGACGATTTTCCCGGGTTGGTAATTTTACGACAATTTTACGACGATTTCGGTTTTACGACGATCGTTTTACGACGATTTTTTTCGTCGTTAATTCGACGTAAATGCTCTTTTACGTCAATTTTACGTCGATATCTGCCGACGTAAAACCAAGATTGTAGTGGTTTAATTAGGCTTTTAGCAGATTTTTGCAGACTTATAAAGAAATCTACTTCGTAATATGTGGTAGACTTCTTGAAGTCTTGCATTTGTATGAATTTGAAAAATCAACTTTTTAGTTTGCATACTTCTATGCAGATTTCATCCATCTACTTCATAGATTGTAATAATTTATGGGGTTATGTATTTGTAGATTCTGGTGCTAGTAACACCAACCTGTTGCTATTTGTTAACTTAGAGAATTTAATGTATCTGAACTCTTCTTCTAGTTAAGAAGTTGGCATAATTTATGGTTTTAAAAGTGGTACAAAATTCAATCACTTGGAATATTTTGGGACATTGAATTATAATGTTAAACTAGGTTTTTGTACATTATACTTCTTCAGCCTTGTTGACAAGCTAACATTGTTTAAATAACCATCAATTTAACGAAAAAAAAAGAATCAGAAAATGTTACAATTCTAGTTACAAATCTAACATTAACTAACAAGATTCACTCCTTGAAACTCTCATCTCTCGTTTAGGAGGAATCATCTATTGAGTCCATCATTGCTCTTTTTCTCAGCTGTTCTTGGTGATGATTTAGAGTTGCTGTTTTTTCTGGAGATTCTCTTCAAGAGCTCTTCTTTCCTAATAGACAAATATATTAAACGAAAGCACCACTCAAATATATTAAACGAAAGCACCACTCAAACAAAAGCACCCTTAATTTCATTTGTAATCAATAATATAAAACGAAAGCACCACTCAAAAATCGATATTAATTTTTATACCTGTAACCAGCAACAGAATTGTTTATACCTGATGCATAAAACAATAAAACAAATAAAATCTCCACTTTATGGATATCTATGTCTATCATCGACCATATGTATATGCATTCATCCAACGAGTCAAATTATATACCTACACTCATTATGATCAAATTAAAACCCATCTTTTAACAATTTGCAGAAGGAATCAAATCAGGTAATTATCGAACAACAAAGAACACATCTATACCAAAGAAGTTGGCTACACCCTGCAATGTCCACCGCAAAACCAAGTGATCTCAGCTAGTTTACTGTGCAAAAACTACTAATTGCCAATCTCAAAAGGCTAAAGAACTTACCTTTACGACTTAATTAACATCATAAGAATAAGCCAATCATAATGAGGGATAATACATGCACATAGACATGAAAACACACATACATACAGCATCTAAAAAAAGAAGATCCAAATCTAACAAAAAAAATGTTATCTTTACGCCCAAAATCCAGCAAACAAAACAAGTAAATTTAAAGTGATAAACTAAGAGAGATTCGAGTGATAATAGAGAAGTCTCACACCTTCTCCTTGCGACTGTGTCGATCCAGCACAACCCATTTAACCTCTCAAGTACAAAAATCTCTCGGAAACAGGCCACAATGATCAGACAACCCTGGGTTTGTCGAAGCTTCATCGAAGTCAATCAAAGTCGCAAACTTTCCTTTCAGAAAACAAAATCAAACAAGCAAAATGAGAGATTATGCGACATAAAACCCAAAAATAGGTATCGGTAGAAAGAAGAAGAAGATCAAGACCGAGTTGAAGATGACGACGATGAATCGGGTGTTGACATTATTGCGATGATGTTTTCGAAAGAGGATAACGGCGACAGAGAGAATGCAGCACCATTTTAGAGAGAGATCAAAGTGGAGGTTTTCTTAATTAGGGTAAAATTTTCATTTATATAATAGGTTGAAAATATTCGGTTATAGCCGGTTATGTTAATTAAATTCTGGTCTATGTACATTTTATTTAATTTCGATTATGGTTTGAGCAGACTTCATAAAGTAGTCTGTAACCCTAAATTAAAATTATTCAGTTATGATGTTTATTTTTGTTGGTCTAATTTGATTTAGTTATATTAAATTTTAATTTATATACATTATAATTGTTTATATTTGATTTATAGAAACAAATTTTAAATCAAATTATTTTTGTATAATTTTTAAAATAAAATATAAGATTTAATAATATAGCAGACTTCTTTATAAGTCTGCTAAGCAGATTTTACTATTATTTGCAGACTTCTCGAGGTTAAAATCGTAATTGAGCTCTCTGTTTTTTTGTTTGCTCATGTAGGAGAGAATAGTAATTTCTCTATCCTTCTGACCTATTTTTGCATTAGGTTGAATTTGGGGTATACTTTTGCATTTGGACTCAAATTCTGGTCTATTTTTAGCAATTCCCCCAAAATTTAAAGCTGTTTATATGCCCATGCTGGATCAAGCGAAGAAAAAAACATTTTTAAGTTGTGATAGTATTGGTACATCAGATTGAGAACTATATTTTTATTGTGGGATTTGTGTTAATCTATGAAATAAAAGATGTCAACAAAAGAAGAGGACAAAGCGGATGAAAAAAGAAATTTAGAAAATAAAAAACTGGATTTTTATTATTGGGGGAGGGGGGGAGAGACTTTTGGCAACATAAAATATCCATAGATTGTGAAAACATTAGCAGTGCAAGTAAAGTGTGAGAAAAAAAATAATCAAGGATAAGAAGAAGAATGATAAAGAGGACACTGAGGAATATAAAGAAGGGGCAGAGCAAAAAGACAAAGAAAATAAATATTCAAATGATAAAGAGAAGCAAAAAAATTCTATTGGGTGCCAAGATTTTTATTTATATATAGAGTTGATCTTGAAGAATAAAATCAATTTTAGATCTGTCAAATTCTAAGTGAACATAGATGAAACATTATGTTGTTTTTCAAGTCAGATATTTGGAGATCGAAAAAATCATTGTAAACAACATTTTTGTATAATTTCATGAGAGTTTATTTCATTCAATGACTCTTGACATTATTAAAAATAGTTTTGTATATAAAGAAATCAGATTTAGCATCAACATTAAATAAAGTTGCAGTAGTGGTCATAAAAGTTAAGATTTTGATTAAAAAGTTGTTGATTTTTGAAGAGGAAGAAGACGTAAACAAAATAAGCAAGAATTAGAGAAAGAAGAAAATCAGAAGAACAAGATGAAGAAAATACAGAAAAAGTCAAAGAAGACAAAGATATAGAAACAAAAAAGAAGACGATGAAAAAATTGAAAGAAAAAGAAGAGTAAGTAAGATGAATCTGATGCAGAAGAGCTCGAAAAATACAAAGACAAACACGTTAAAGATGGGAAAGGAGATTGGAAGATGAAGACGACAAAGTATGAGAATGTGAAAAATTGGAAGAAAAAGACAAAGAAGACAAATACAATGAACTAAGAAGAATATGGATTGGATGACAAAAAATAACAAAGACATGTATGAATAAGAAGCTGACAAATTTGAAAATGAAGAAGAATTAGAAGTAGAAGATAAAAATAGGAAATCTGAATTCAAATAAAACAAAGATTATGAAGAAAAAGAGGAGTAAAATCTGTTGCAATAAAAGTGTGGACTTATTCTTCATCTCATTTGATGTCTTTTTTTTATCTATGAAGGTGGAAGATACCATCGCAGTTGCCGTAGCAGCTATGTTGAAGAGATTCACTGTTTGAATTTCTGATTTGAATATCTACATTCAAAACTATTTGCTGATTTTCAATCTTTCAAGAAATTAAACATAAAAATAAATTCAACATTTGAATCTTATGTTAGTTTAAATTTTTCTTAAACCAGATGCTCTGGCGGTTAAAGAAAAGGAATTGAAGGACGTTGAGGAAAAAATCACGCAATATATTTTGCATGAACTGTATTTTTGTATCATTTCATTAGAATTTTATTTTAACTGAGTGACTAAAAATTATTTAGTTCAGATTTTTATATGTAGAACGTAAATTATTCAATCTAAGTTAGCATCAACGTAAATTAAAGTTATAGCTGTGACCATGATTGTTGAGAGTCGAATAAATTTTTTTCTATATTGAAACATTTGTTTCACTGCTTAAGAAGATGAAGAAAAAACATTTGATGAATTAAGAAGAAGATGGGAAAGCACTGAATGACGAAAATGGGATAATGAAGTTGTTGATTATAAGAGGAGGAAATTGAAGAAGAAGTAAACCGGAAGATAATGAGAAAGCAGTATTAGAAGAAGAAAATAAAAAAATGATGTAGATAAAGTAGAGGAATGTGAAGATGAAGAATATGTATTTAAATAAGACAAAATATGAAGAAGAAGATGATGAGTAAAAACTGACAAAAAAGAAAGAAAAAGTCAGGGAATACGAGGATAGTGAAAAAAAAATATATACAAAAAAAAAACCAAGAGATAAAGAAGAGGAAGCATATAAAGACAAAGTAGAAGTGGAAGATGACTTAGATGAGATAAGTGCAGATAACAGAAAGAAGAAAATTTTTAAAAGATGACGAAGAAAAATAAGTCGAAGAAGACAAAGAGGATAAAGAAGAAGAAGTAGAAGTAAAGACTACAAAGAGAAGATGAAGAAATGAAAGATAGAAAAGCGAGGAAGAGGAGGAAGAAGAGGACAAAGCGGATAAAAAATAATTTCGGAATATACAAAGATAGAGACGTTACTAATAAGGAAAAAGACCTGAAGATAATAATGACGACAAAGTATGAGTATGTGAAGATGAGTAAAGAGGCTAATAAAAATCAGAAGGATAAGTAGGATGAAAGACATATACGATGGAACTAGGGAAGAAGATGGATATTTATTAGAAACTTGAAACAGTAAAGCTCTTCAGCATGGGTGATGAAGAAGAATTTCGAAAAAAAATGACCAAAATGTTGAAGATGAGAAAGGATACTAGAAGATGATGATTGACAAAGTATGAGAATGTGAATATGAGGAAGAAGGATAAGGAAAAAAACATAAGAGTAAGAACTTGAAGAAGAAAAACACAATTAATTAGGAAGAAGATGGATAACACAAAATAAAGAAGAATGATAAGAAGAAGGGGAAGGGGAAGTTGAAGATGAAGGAGAAATAAGACGATTAATAAAATCAGAAGATGATGTAGACGAAGTAGAAGAAGGTGAAGATTAGAAATAAGAATTCAAATCAAACAAAGAATATGAAAAAAAGAGGAGTAAAATTGGATAATAAAAGGAAAAATAAGAAGTTGGAGAATACGAGGATGGTAGAAAAAAGAGTCAAAGACGATATAAAAGAAGAAAAAAATACGAGGAGAAAAACCCTGTTAGATAATAATAGGAAGCATATAAAGGTGCAGTAGAAGAGGAAGAAATGTGCACGAGATAAGTAACAATAAGAGAAAGAAGAAATATCAGAAGAAGAAGAATTAAGAAGACAAAGATGAAGAAAAACTGAAAAAACAAAAAAAAATGACGAAGAATTTTAAGAGGACAAAGAATATAATGAAGAAGAAGTCGAAGAGGAAGATGACAAAAAAATGAAATAAAAAGAAGATGATGGATAAGATGACGGTGATGATGAAGAAAAATTAAAAAAAAAATATACAAGAAGAAAGACGTCGAAGATGAGAAGAAGACCGGAAGATGAAAATAACAAAAAATGAGAAAAGAAGCTAATGAAAAATAAAAAAAAAATTTTAAGAAGACGAATAAGAAAAACATGATAGACTAGGAAGAAGATGGATAACACGAAATAGCTAAGAAGGATAAAGATAAGAAGATGAGAAAGTTGAACAAGAAGAAGAAAACCGAAAGATGAAGAAGCTCATAAAATTATGTAGACGAAGTGAATAAGGTGAAGATGAGGAATAAATAATTCAAATAAGAAAAAACTTATGAAAAAAAGGAGAAGGATGAGTTAAAATTAGGGGGAAAAAAAAGAAAAATTAATTTGGAATGTTGAGGATGGTGAAAAAAAAAATCAATAACGATGCAAAAAAGAACGAAAATATGAGGAATAATCAAAAGACAAAGAAGAGAAAGTACATAAAAACGAATGATGGATATTCACACACCTGAGAAAATAAAATTATTCTTTTCTTCTAAATGAAAGCAATACCGTCCAAATAGCTATACAAAATTAGAAGAAATGTATAAATCAATGTTCAAACTAAATCCACCTCTAAGCGGACCAATAAAAAATCAGATAACATACCTCAAATATTAATTCAATTTTCAGCATTTTAAATTAGATCGTGTTTCAAATTTTCAAGAAAATTCATATTAATTAGTATAGTTAACATAAAATGTAGGCTTTTTCTAATTTAATAATAACAATCATTTAAATTCAACTGTGGTATATATTTTCTTTCAAATCTAAATTTCATGATTTAAGAGAAGATAAGGAATACAGAAAAATGTGCAAAAACTTTTTTTTGTCATTTTGTGCAAAAACTTCCTAAATTAGAAATGCATGATAGTGATATCGTATTCTTATATATTTTACGACTGATGTTTTTATTATTTTATAAAATATTTTTATTTGGTTTATGTTTGGATGTTTTGGATTGATTTACCTATTTATAAAATTATTAAATATTTATGAAAGATTCGGTTTTAATGTTATATAATAATCGTTTTTATAATCTTATATTCAAGTAAAATAATTATATAATTTAATATTATATTAGTTTGTATCATAAACTAAGAATGTTTTCTTTATTAAATTTAAAAAACATCATGTCTGCGCTTGGCGTGGGTGACCACCTACTATAATCGTATTTCATATTTTTTATTCGGATTTTGGTTTGGTTTCGGTGAAGTTCAAATATCTAAAATGTTTGAAAAAGGAACCATTCTGATTTATCATTATTTAGTTCGGTTTGGTTACCCCTAATTGGATTTGGTTTCTTCAGTTCCGAGTAATTTACTAAACGTAGCAGTTAGCCGGTTATCACACAAAACACCATAGAAACATCAAACCAAATCACTAATTCAATTTTAACTGAATGTAAAATTGTATTCAAACAAAAAAAAGAGTTTTTACAACTGGTGTGGACTTTGAATAGAAGTTTAAAAAGAAGACCTATGAAAAAGGACAAACCATAAGCAATATATGTGCGGTTACAAACCAAACCTGCAGAGCATCTTCGAAACAGGTGTCCCTCAGTTCTCATATAGAATGAAGTCTGCAGCGAACTTGCTTGTTAATGAAGGTATAGAGTCTGGACGCTGGTGCCGAGGCTTCGCCATGGCGACGGTTAGCGGCTTGAAAGATATAACAGAACAGAAATTTATGAGAATTTTGCAGCCGGGTATCCACAATGAGTTGAGCCAGAGGATCCCATTCTGCAGTGAATTCATCCTTGAGTAGGTCCTTTACAAGCTTGGTCCAAACTTCTCAAGAGAATCTACAGGTGATTAACAGATGATTTCAAGTTTCCAGAGCTTCAGTACAGAGGACACAAGTAGCATTAGCTCCTACATTCCACTGCATTATTCGATCCCCAGTATATAATCGGTTGTGAATGGCAAGCCAAGTGCATGCTGAGTACTTTGGCGTAGAATTTTTGAACCAGATCTCTTGATGCCAGCCCATTCAATTAGATGCCACCCTTGTTAGAAGTCATATATTCTTAGAGATAAAAACAGGCTTGAAATTATCTGCTCTGTTTTTCCTTAAAGATATATCCGTTTCAGCTGGCTTGTGTCAAAGTTGTATAGTTGCTAGAGCATTTTCCATGTTGTTTAACATCTCCACTCAATGCCGACGCCTTCTATGATCCATCAGAGATGCGATCGATGCCTGAAGTGGAATACCCATATCTATAGTGGCTCTCGGTCCTGCCAAGTTGTACAATATCCCCATGTCCGACCAGTTGTTGAACTAAAACAAAGTTCCCGATCTCGCCATTGCAAACCTCCATCTTAAATAAAATTTGGGCAAGAGGTCTATACTTAAATATTTTCCTCCACATCCAAGATCCGATGTGTGTGTTTTCTTGATCAATCAGAAAGATTCTTTTTTGATGAGGTATGTATGTATCCATTGAAAGAACCCATAGAGAGGGATGAGATGAGGCAATGCACTATATCATCTTAAGACAACAAACTTTGTTGACTTCTCTCAAGGGTTTAGTGGCATTAGGAGCATTTGAGGTACCCAAAGATCGATTCAAAACTTTCAAAGCACGTGGAAGAGGAGGGCTTATGCTTACTTCCTCCTGTTTACCCGTAGTTGTTGACTTTCCAATCAAATGCTGGTCTGCAGATTCACGGTCCCCGGTAACATCCATTCCCAAGACATATGTTGCTTCACTTTTATCCACCTCTCCATTCTCTATATCCTCCTCCTCAGTTTGTGAAAGGATTAGAAACCGAGAAGGAGACACATAAATGTTCTGATTACTTGTTCCCAAAACATTTGAATGTCTCCAAATCACTAGTTAACATTAAGTTATATACATTTTGTTTATGCATGATCTCCTAGAATCAGAGTAAAATTTAAACTTCCTCTAGTAATTAACTGAATAAAATAAAATCCAATGCAGCGATCAATGTGTCACTGTAGCAGAATGCAAAAAGAAATTGAAAGCAGAGTCACATACAGTCTATCAACACAAAGTCTCTTGCACATATGTAATGGATCTAAGATGTGAAAAACCCATTTATACCAGATCTGTGCTAGAACTCTGTCAGTAGCAGTGACAAATAATTTAGTTTTAACATTCCGCTAAACACAGCAGCAGAAAATCATTGATCATAGCCATGTATTACTGGTAGGGCAACACCAGAAGAAAATCAAAACCATCAATGTTTAACAAGTGAAAATAATTATGTTTAATAATCATTCATCTAAAATCAAACACATTCAAGTCTGACTTATAAGTCATTTGTCATTAAACAGTGACAGCAAGGACATACTCAAATTCATATGATTCAGGGACTGTAAGCACCGTGCCACACCACTCAACATTCCCCCAAATCTCTCCATTGCTGTGTCTTTTAAGCGCAATCTGTGCATACCATATCACCTTGTTCCTATCTTCACTGGAATCTAGATACCTGTCCCACAAAACCGCCATCTTTCCACCATAATCAGCCAATTAAACATGAGCATATCCAGGAAAATCAGTTGGTTCTACCAAACCTTTCAAATATTTCCACGTTTTTACCCTAGTGTCATACCATGTTATTTCTCCTGAATAATAACTGTACAGAACATTCTCTACCACGCAATAAGAATAATAACGATTATACGGATACCTAACCCATCTACCTTCCATGTAAGCCAAACACTCCATCTGTCCACACATGTAAACCTTTCCTTCAGTCCCTGCACCAACGCTAGACGCAAGCTCCCAAGTTTGGGTTTTTGGATCAAAAACATGCATCCACTCGGAGAAATCACAAGTTTATTTGTTCCAAGATTCTTTAAACTCAAAACTTTTTTCCAAGATTATGAGTACAAATATAAACTTATTTGTTCCAAGATTATGAGTTCCCTGAAAACCAAACAAAAAAGTTATGAGTTTAAATATTGGGATTTTATTTGTTCCAAGATTCTTTAAACTCATAACTTCTTTGTTTGGTTTTCAGGGATTATTCACTAGGGTTTGGTTGATTACGAGATTTGAGTTTTACTTTTCTATCATCCTTCTCGAGAATCGAAGACCAAATAAGCTGTTCGTCTGCTGTTGAAAACAAACACTCCCTAAAACTAGAACACGATCGATTCAGAGATATGATGTCATTGTCTTCCTCTAGTGGTAATAATTGTGGTCATTGTTTTGTTCGTCACAGAATCTGCCTCGCCTGTAAAAAGAAGCTGTGCGGTGTCGAAGTCCGAGGATTTGATTATCTTTTCCCCGGTTTACATCTGAGCCATGAAGCTGTATCTTTTACAAAGTGTCTCACAACCCTAATCTCAATATACAAACACAAGAAGCTTCACTTGGTACTGGACTTGGACAACACCCTAGTCCACTCCGTTAATATTTCAAAACTTTCTGATGCAGAGAAGTATCTCATCGAAGAAGCAGGATCAGATTTGAAGAATAATCTACAGACATACCATGGCAGATTCATAAAGATTCGACCTTTTGTTAACGAGTTTCTTGAAGAAGCCAACAAGCTTTTCAACATGTATGTTTACACAAAATGCACTTTCCGATACGGTCAAGCTGTTGCGAGGATGATTGATCCGAACAAAATCTATTTCGGGGATCGAGTGATAACCAGAAAAGAGAGTCCAAACAGGAAGACACTTGATCTTGTCTTAGCTGATGAGCGTGGAATCTTGATTGTCGATGATTCTCTTGTTGTTTGGCCTGATCACAAGCAAAACTTGTTGCAGATCACTAGGTACGTTTATTTCAGACAGGACTACAAAAACATAAGGGCGAATTCATCGTTCGCAGAGATGAAGAGAGACGAGAGTGCAAACAGAGGAGCATTGGCTAATCTTCTGATATTCCTCAAGGGGATTCATAATGGATTTTTTAGCTGTGGACTTGAAGAAGATTTAGATTCAAAAGACGTTAGGTCGTTGATAAAGGGTCCCTCTATTCCAAAGCGATGTTGATTTTTATTTATTTATCTGTATTTCTTTATTTTGGAGGTTTATAACAAATCAAAGTTGAATGAAGTATGGAATTTGATTATACCATCTAAGCTTGGGAAACTATAAAGAACCTTTTGCAGGGTTCTGTGACAAGTAAAATGAAAAGAAGCCATACTCATTGGTTTTAGTCCCCATTGTTGTAAAAAAGAACCTTTTGTTATAACCAAAACGAAGGTGCTTCACAGAAACTTTGTTAGTAACAGTCACAAAATAAGTTATAATCATCTACAACTACAAGTGAGCACACATCAGCAGACAATCATTGATCATCAGCAGACATAAGAACATGCATCCAAAAGAAAATGATTCCATCATGTTCAATTAAAGGTAGTGCACTTTTCTATTCAAAGGAAGCAAAATTTTACAGAAATTCAGCAGCACTCAGATATTCAAAACCGTCAAAAAGTTAAACAAGTAAAACTGATGATGTCTAATATCATTCAGCCAAAAGCAAGAGACACGATCATCCAACAAATTGATATAATACCAAAAATAACTAAAACGATTCGACAAATTCCAGTCTGACTCATATGTCATTTAATTTTATCAAACGGTGGCACCAACGACATAATAAAATTCATTTGACTTTGGGACCGCGCCACACCACTCAAGCTTCCCCCAAAGCTCTCCATTGTTGTGCCTTTCAAGCGCAATCTCTGCTACCATATCTCTCCTAGATACTTGTCCCATAAAACTGCAATCTTTCCACCATAATCAGCCAATTTAACACTGGCATTTCCACGAAACTTAGGTAGTTCTACCAAACTTTTCAATTTTTTCCACTCTCTTACCGTAATGTCATACCATGTTATGTCTCCTAAATGATAAGAGTACAAAATATTTTCTATCACGTAATATAAAGAAGAAGAACAATACCAAGACGTAGCTCCTCTGCCTTTCTTGTAGGAGACACACTTTTTCATTCCACACATGTAAACCTTTCCTTCATTCCCTGCACTAGGGCTCGACGCAAGCTCCCAAGTTTGGGTTTTTGGATCGAAAACTTCCATAGGAATTGCAATCTTCGGTTCCTCCTTCTACATAGATCTTTCTATCAACGACACCGGCCAGTGCATTAATCCACTTAACTCGCATGCGTGGAGCCTCATGCCACGTGTGAGACTGGCAGTCCAAGATGGAGACGCTAGACGAGGGCGACTTGAACATAGATCCCCCAATGTTATAAATGTTATAACCAATTGCCACCACCAGACCCGACCAATGCGTATAAGGAGAAAAGGATTGGGATTGAAGCCAAAACATACCCACTTGACTTCTTCTCCCTCTTCCTAGTGTCATTGGTTAGGGTTTTGTTGGGTTTATGGCAGAGAGTGAACAAACGAGGTTTATGATTGTCAGTAGGGAATCGTAAGCATATATAGAGACAACTCTCCGTGCGACATAAGAGTGAACGAGTCTAGTAAAACTCCGGTGAAACCAGGAGAGAAAGCTTTTGGAAACAAGGGAGAGAGTTGGATGGTACAATCTAGAGACGCGTGCTAAGCAGCTTAGTATCAAATCATCAGGAAGTAAGGGAAATGTTGATTGCGGTGACAACTTCTTCCTCTTCTTAATCAATGGCTCTTCCTCCTTCGTGGCGTCAGAGATTAATGGTGGAGACGACATGAGCAGAAATATTGGTCTCCCTCTTGGAGGGTTCAGGGGGAAGTTTAGGGTTTAAGGCAAAGGTCTCTTCGTCTTGAAGGATTCTGAGATTTATATATGGGCTTCAATTTCTACAAAAATTATTTGATGAAATTAAAATAAATCATTTTACTTTGTTAAGAAAAGGTAACAACATCTATATTTCTTTTCAAATTTGAAGTATTGGGTATGAGGGTATCTAATTAAGGAACAACTGAAACAAGGCCAAAGCGTACAAGGAAACAATAAATACTGAAATCTAGGAAGCATCACTTCGTCCTCAGGCATGCTACCCATGTTGTCCTCAGCGTCTCTACAATTTAGACGACCATTCTTACTGGAAAATAGAAGATCAAATTCTCTTCCCTCTGATGAAAATTAAAAGAAGGAAAAGAGTGTAAGAAGAAGCAAGCAAAGTGATCTGAATCAGAATTTGGATTTTATTATCCAGATATAAATCATAAATGGAAGGTTATCCATGTATACAACTAAGACACAAAAACTGATTTTAGAGCAAAGATATACTGATATTAGACCATTTCCATCCCTGATACTGCATGAGGTTTTTAGGCATAAAGTGGTATTAAAAATAAATCAAAATACTTAAAATATTTAAAAACTGATGTTTAAAATCCTAATATAAGGATCGATCCATAAGATGTTTTTAAGACAGGTGTCGACTGGGTATTGGTTGCTGGAAAAAGTGAAGTTATCCCACATTCTCTTTCCTTCTCTTCTCTCTTCTCTCTTCACTTTTAAATGTTTTTTATTTATTTTTGAGACTTTCTCTCTTCTCTCTCCTCTCATAAACTTATTATTAAAAAAAGGATTAATTATTAGAACAATTTTCAAAAGTAGCTCTTTTACTAGAATAATTCTGTCCCAAATTTGAGTAACTAAACTAACTTTCAAAAGTTGACAAAAGACATGTAAGGGTACTTTTTCGTTTTAATAACGAAAATGCCTTTTTCATTTATTTTTAACAAAAATTATAATTAAATATTAAACAAAATTTTCTTTTTCACATTTACACTTTCTCTCCTCTTTTTTCTTCTCTCTCTTCTTCTTTGCGATTTTTTCTCTCTCTTCTTTGCTTTTTTCTCTCCTCCATTGATGGCGATTTGTGAATGTATTTCCGGCCGACGTTGATTATGACTGCTCCATTACCTCCTCCACCAGATATGCTCCACTGTAGAGAACCATTCTCACTTTTACCTCTCCTTTTAAAATCGCTACTAAAAAAATCTTCCTTCGTCGCATTCCACCATATCTACTTTGCCGCTGCCTTCTAGTAGATGTATTCCACCGTCCTTTCACAAGATATTATCTCTTTGGCTTATTTGCTTGTATTTTAGTTGATATGATGATTCAAGAAGAAAGCCCACCAACTGTTCGACGATATTCCGCCAATGATGGTAGAGTTATTGGTAGATTTTTATTAATAGTAGATTTATTTTTCTAGTGGTGGTAGATTTGTTGTCAAATGATGGAATATTTATTTTTGTGTAGGTTTACTATATGATAGATGTATTTTTGATATTATGGTAGATTTATTTAAAAATAATAATAGATTTATTTTTGAAATAATGATAGATTTATTTTGAATTTCGTGTATTTATCTTCTTCTTTAGTAGGTGACAGACGACGAACGGTGGATCAAAATATAGGTTATATGATGGAAGGGGAGTCGAATTACTGGCAAGGAAATGGGGATTTGTTTATCAAAAAATAAATGTGTAGATTTGTTTGCTTGAATAGTGATAGATTTATTTATTTGATGGTGAATTTAATTTAGGATTTGATAGATTTAGTTGAATTGGTAGTAGATTTCTTTAAATAATAATATAATAATTACTTAGTATGTATAATCAAAATGAGTGAGTTATAAACTAAAAACATATGATAGAACCCAATAATATAAAAGAAATTAAAATGCATTTTCATTTTATCAATCAAGAAAGAAAACAAACAAGCACAAATAAAAAAAAAATCAAAAATATAAAACTCATATGTCATTTCAGACACCATCAAGCGATTGTCTAGCAAATAACCAAATATCCTAATATATGGTTCAATGTAGATTAGAGTAATAATACAACTTTTTATCAGTTATTGACATTTTAGTATTTCAAAAAATTCATATATCAAAATAAGTATACCATCATTACAATAAATCTACCACCAAACAATATTTTTTCTCATACTTAAACCTGTGACAACTATCTTCACGATGGATGCCTGGTTTTTTTGCAAATATAAAGTTTTTTTATGGGCAAAATTGTCATTTGATAATTTATAGTTTTAACAAGTCTACCATCAATAATAAATAACAAATCTATCAATTTCAGATAAATCTACCAATATTAGATATATCTACCTATTTTTACATACATCTACCAAATTTCGACAAGTCTATCGACTTCGTGTTTCTCGATCTTTTATATAAATCTACCGTCATTATTAATAAGTCTACCAAATTTTGTACAAATCTGTTTTATGTTAATAAATCTACCATCTCTTCAAATAAGTCTACTACACATAGAAATCTAAGAACCGTATTTTAACATTAATTAAGTCTACCGTGTCTACTAACAAATCTACCATTTCAACAATAAATCTACTAATATAAGATAAATCTACCAACACACTAATAAATCTACCAAAACATTATTAATCTACCATCATTAAAAATAAATCTACCGTCATTGCAAATCAATCCATCCAACGATAAGTCTATTATCATGAAACAAAAGTCTACCACGGACGAAAATAAATCTACCGTCAAATAGGATAAATCTACCAATACGGTAAAATATCTACCAATAAGTCAACCAAAGTCAACCTTGCTGAAAAAAGTCTACCAAATCGTATCAAATATACCCTCATTATAAACAAGTCTACTAGAAATTTACTAAGTCTACTGACCACTAACATCTCTACCTAACGTAAGAATAAATCTACCAAAATAAGTCTACCGACTTCAAAACAAATCTACCATTTTCGGATTAATCTATTGACCCAAAACAAATCTACGGTTTCAAATAAAAGTCTACCAAAAAATTATAAGTCTACCGTGAAATGTTGGTAGACTTGTATATTTGAGCGCGTTGGTTTTTCCATAAATAAATCAAACTTTTGCTGACGTGGATTATAAATAGTAATGGCAGTTTTGTAATTACGTTTTTTTTAAACAAATATCAAAAGGGTAGAATAGGTACCGTAGGTTATTCTAATAATTAAAATTTTTGAACGCTGTTTAAATAATTTGACGATTTTTGAAGGCTATTATAGTTATCCTCCCTTAAACAAATGTATAA